ATATATATATATATATATATATATATATATATATATATATATATATATATATATATATATATATATATATTAAACGAATTTTACGTTTTTGATGTATTACTTTTCTTCCTAGACAAATGCAGCCTTCGACAGAACCGATTACTTATTTCACCAGTCCGAGTATCCGTCCGTGTAGTCTAGTCTAGTCCAGTCCAGCATTTTCAATTCTACTTAACCCAGTACTGTATTTGCATTTCTGTGGGGGATCAGATGGTGGGCGTCATCACTGAAAGCAATAAATTTACTGTACTGTAGGTTAACCGAAAATAATCTCACATTGTGCGAGTTAACCTTGTCTTTGTTTGATCAGGGCAACAGATTTGGAGACTAACAGTGTTACCGGAAGTAGAGAAGTCGACGCAATAACCATTGCTGAACTGATCACCTTGGAATTAAATACAACTCTCACCACTTGAAAACCACATTTATCTTGGAAATTTAGATTCAGAAATACTTTTCCTGTCATATTGAAACAGAAACGGCACAGAATTAAACTGGTAGCGCCAAAGATCCGAGGCGGGTAGATTGTAAACAATTAAAACAAAGCCTATTGAAAGACAGCAAAGTGAACATATTTAATTATGCTCACAACCGAAAACAAAGCGAAAGATTCGATCAGCAAAACGAGTTTGATTTGAAAGAAAAGATCGATATTGGGAAACACAAAAATTTTTTCGAAACGATGATCCTTTATTTTACATTTTATTACGCTATAAAGGCTTACCTTGCCGTCGCTTGAAACTCGTCTGGCACTGATATTAGTCGTCAGATCTCCAGAGTCGAAGGTTATAATACAGTTGACTACACAAGAAATAAGCACGAAAACAAGAAAACAAATATTAGAAGTAAATGTTAGAGAATGTTAGAATCAATTCGATTCAAACTGTTTAACTATATTTTTAGCGTACGAACCTTGAGAAAATGGATCACGCATCGAGTATTCAAAACGTGATGTGAAACACGCCATCAAACGCATTCCTTTTACATATCAAAATCAAAATAATCAAATACCTAACTTTATGCTAGATTTTGGTACCAGATTATCCACAGTAAAGCTATGAATATCATGTTATCCCCTTTTGTTTATCAACGACATACGAGAATGATTCCAAACGAAAACTGATCAAGAAGTCAAACGTGCTCGTTAGAAGTTAAAAGGATCGTTTTTTAAACTCACCAGTCTTGTTACAAACACCATTCGCTTCTTCTTCGAGGAGAAATCCGACAATTACCATTTGATATGTAAGAGGAAACATTATTATGGCCAGGAGCGATGTATTTCGGTATAAGATTGATTTCAGCCCCGTAAAAGTTGCGAAGAAGCTGTCGATTGGAGAAGGGCTGGCCATGTTTGTTGCATTAGTCACGCCACGAGCCAAGCTCAACGGGTGCGTTACATAGCTGAAAGAAGGAAATGTAACGCAACAGAAAACTGTGTAATAAGGTTTCGTGTAGTAAATCCCCTCTCTACTTCGGGTGAAAAGAAAAGGCGTAAAGGGATTTATGCTGATGTTGTTCGAAATATGACATACACGAAACATCCGGTCATACATCTGGTATTTTACATCCATAATTTCGAATCCAAGGAGTCTCTTTGATCATTAGAAACGGACCAAGTATCAGACGAACGTAGCTAAATCTCGTTGAACAAAGGTGCAAAATCCGTGACAACCCCGATGGACATAATAATACGTGACAGCTGTGGCGACCACATGGATCATGATACGGTACAACCAGTCCAGAGATCTCCGTACGTAAACTTCGATGAGTGAGAGCCAAAATATTGAAATAATAATAATACTAATCGGTGATAATAATTTTTTTGAATAATAACAATAATGATAATAATAATAATAATAATAATAATAATAATAATAATAATAATAACAATAATAATAAAATTAGACGTACTACATACCTTGTGCTTTGTGCAATGATGATGACTTAGAGCACAATTTTTAACAATGGGCGCGCAAAATTGATAAATTGATAAACAAAAAATATTCTCACGAGAATGAGTTAAGCCTAGTCAGCCTTCTCATGACGAGCATGCAATGGTCACGTATACTTAGTCGCGTCATCCCGTACAGACACAACGGCCGGGGGCATGACAATTAATTTGGGGATCTTTAGCTTTACCCGGGGGTAATACATTTAGTTACTAATTGGCCTACTATTGACTAACATCCTACAGAATTAGTCGTGAGCACCGCTGCATTCAAAATATATATAGTTATTTTACACTTGTATTATTTTGGATCATCGAGGCATGAATTTGCTTGAATGACCTCGGGCCAATGTTTTCCAAAGTACCACCCACGCGCTCTGTTCGGAATTAGAAAGAGGTCTTAAAGTATATAATTAGTTTACATTTTCTCATTTTCAAGAAAACCATTACTTTAAACGCTGGTTTTAGAGGTTTGTGACATGGACAACTTCGGCTCCGTCCACACTACACCGGAGAAATTTGAAAAAGGCGTTTTCACTCTTAAAACGCATCAAATGTGGTCGGCCCGCACTACGCCGGGGAATATGGACAACGGATCGGAACAATCGTCTGTTACTTTGGACTTGTGTTTGAGGCAGACTCGGTCAGGGAAATCACATGTTTGTCATAACGTTATCGTTTTCAACAAGAGCCATTTTCAAAAGGTTTTTCTGTCCACATTAAAACGCCGACCGGCGTTTTCAAATTCCTCCATTTGAGGAGCGTTTTAGCACCATCACATTACCGTACACCCTGCGAGCAGGGTAAGTAAGCATATGTATCTTAAGAAAAGGCTCTGCTTGCAGGTTGTTTCTAATGGTGCCGCGATTTAAACTTAAGGATCAGCATTTTATGTCGATAAACAGCTTATGTTGTTTACGTGCAGATGATATATTAAAAACATGATCATGTCAGGTCACGATTTGGGAAAAATTGAATAAGCGCCCCCTCCGCCTCCGATTAAGCGCTCCCATCGAATAAGTGTCCCCCGTCTTCTCCTAAATTTGAAATAAGCACCCTGGGCGCTAAATCGGGTATTTACGGCAATCCAATAAGCAAGTTAATCTTTTTTTTTTCTTCTGCTCATGGTGGCAAAGATGTCGCTATTGAGACCATGGCTGTCACGGGTTACTAAATTAATAGAATTATAGCTTAATTTGCAGCCCTCTTCTTATCCCCGTCGCGGATTTACGGAAGTTTACGGACACGTTCTATGATATTATGCATGTTGTAGGCTCAGCTGTCATGAATTATGAGGGCCGTCACAGAATTTGCTCCTGGAAGGGGGAGGTCGGTAATCAGGGAGTCTTTTTTCAGGCTGGAGGGTAGAGTTTCCACACGTTGTAGCGTATAGAAAAGGGTAGGAAAAACTGTTATTTAGATATTTTAAAGGGGGCTTTTTGAATTATTTCTTACAGGTATATTGACGAGGAGTTGCGAAGGCTTTTTTTAAACGCATTTCCAGCCAAAATTAACGGCAATATATACCGGATTTCAGTAGTATGTAGTTCGAAGTTGTCTTTGACACCGACTCTACTAAATGTTAAAACAACGTTTATAGCTACTTAAACAAAGACGTTTCGACCGAACAACTTCGGTCTTCGAACTGAAATTACTGGCTATCTAACTTCACAGTTCTGCGCGTGCTCATGATATGGAGGTATATCTATGACAAAATTCAGTACTCAGTAATTGATATCAAATTATCCAAATTGTACATGCGTCAATCAAAAGCTGAATGGCAACTAGGCGATTCTACAAATAGTCATTACGCAAACAGGCATCACGCTAAAAAGCATCACCCTAAAACGCATCACGCTAAAAGGCATCAAGCTAAAGGGCATCATGCTGAAAGGCATCACGTTAAAAGGCATCACGCAAAAAGGCATCACGCAGAAAGGCATCACGCAGAAAGGTATCACGCAAAAGGTATTACACTTACCGTAAGGTATCACGCGAAAAGGCATCACGCAAAAAGGCATAACGCTTCTGCTTGTGTCTTTACACGTAATCTCCCTCTCAGTCGCACCATAATAAAGGAGAGGTTTAGCTGCAGTAGTGAATTCATGTTCAGGACGTTCTTGTACTATCACCAATGTCATACGAAGAACGCCCGGCACTTGTCCGGCATCTTGAAAAATACTCGCCGATCTCACCGATCGGAAAGAAATGCAATCGTTTTCGATTCCATTGCTCAC